GGGTTTTTTTTTGTTTTTTTGAGAGAGTGGGGGGGGGGGGGAGGAAACATCAATTTGTTGTTCCACTTATTTATGCAGTCATTGATTCTTTTAAAATATATTTTTATTGATTTATTGGGATGATAAGCCTTGGGACAAAAGGCCAACAGAGATGGAAACACAGGAAGAAGCTGGGGCTTGGATGGTGTTATTATTACTATTATTTTAATAGAAATCAGTATTTATTTTTTAAATATATTTTATTGGGTTTTTTTACAGAGAGGAAGGGAGAAGGATAGAGAGTTAGAAACATCGATGAGAGAGAAACATCGATCAGCTGCCTCCTGCACACCCTCTACTGGGGATGTCCCTTCAACCAAGGTACATGCCTTTGACTGGAATCAAACCTGGGACCCTTGAGTCTGCAGGCCGACGCTCTATCCACTGAGCCAAACCGGTGAGGGCTTGGATGGTGTTATTAATCCATCGCATGCATTCTGCAGCCACCCACCCTAAGACTTCCTGTTATGTGCAAAGGAGAGATGAACGCCTGTTTTTGTTTAATCTGTTCTCAGTTGGATGGTTGGATACGTGATGCTCTCTGCATTCTAGCAGGCACCAGGCTCAGGGCTCACCTTTTCTTGGAGTTCCAGCACAGACTTCCAGTGAGCATGCGGACTGGCTCCCCAGGGAGCACGGGCCACCGGGTGGGGTATCTGGAAGGGACATTTGGGGAGGTCAGTTGGCACATATGTAGCCACCACTCAACAACATTAGCTACCATGACCCCGTATGGTCTACATGGTAACTCCCTGTCCACCACGCCCCACAAGGTTCAGCCGTCACCTCACATTCACTATTGTTGAGAACACTTGTTCTTCATAACCTCCACCCCTCCCATTAAAGTCCTCAAGCAGGAAGTTCTGAGTTAGCTTGACTTCCTCCCTCCCCTTCAGCTCTGGGCCATGTCTCATCCATCATCCATCTATCATCCATCCGTCCTTCCACCTTTTCATCCATCTGTAGCCACCACTCAACAACATTAGCTACCATGACCCCATATGGTCTACATGGTAACTCCCTGCCCACCATGCCCCAGAAAGTTCAGCAGTCACATGCACTATTGTTGAGAACACTTGTTCTTCATAACCTCCATCCCTCCCATTAAAGTCCTCAAGCAGGAAGTTCTGAGTTAGCTTGACTTCCTCCCTCCCCTTCAGCTCTGGGCCATGTCTCATCCATCATCCATCTATCATCCATCCGTCCTTCCACCTTTTCATCCATCCATTTATCCATCCATCATCCATCATCCATCCATCCATCCTCCACCTTTCCACTTACTCATTCATCCATCCTTTCACCATTCCATCCATCCATCCATCATCCTCCATCCATCCAGCCATCTATCCATCCTCCATCCATCCATCCATCCATCCATTCATTCATCCAACCTCCACCTTTTCATCCATCCATCCATCCATCCATCCATCCATCCATTCACTCATCCTTCCACCTTTCCATCCACCATACATCCATCCATGGATGGATGAGAGAGAAAGAAACATAGAGAGAGAGAGAAACATCAATGTGAGAGAGACACATTGATTGGTTTTCTTCTCCCATGTGCCTTGACTGAGGGTGGGGATTGAATCTTTCCATCCATCCATCCATCCATCCATCCATCCATCCATCCATCCATCCATCCATCCATCCATCCATCCATCCATCCATCCATCCATCCATCCATCCATCCATCCATCCATCCATCCATCCATCCATCCATCCATCCATCCATCCATCCATCCATCCTTCCACCTTTCCATCCATCCATCCATCCATCCATCCTTCCACCTTTCCATCCATCCATCCATCCATCCATCCTTCCACCTTTCCATCCATCCATCCATCCATCCATCCATCCATCCATCCATCCATCCATCCATCCATCCATCCATCCATCCATCCATCCATCCATCCATCCATCCATCCATCCATCCATCCATCCATCCATCCATCCATCCATCCATCCATCCATCCATCCATCCATCCATCC